GTGTGTGTGTGCATAAATATATACTGCATAAGAAGACAGGAAGTAGTAAGAAAGGTTTTTAAAAATGGGTATTTCAATGTAAAGCGCTTTAAGCTACTTTTTTTTTGGAAATGCGCTATATAAATGTTATATATTATTATTATTTATTATTATAAGTCTACCGGAGGGAGTCAAGCAGCATTTTTGTCTAGTCGTGTGGTGTCTCATCAGCCCAAGCCCGTGCGGGGCTGAAACCGGTTTCTAAATTCATGTTCAAATGAGAAATCTAATGTCATATTTGTGATCAGCGCCTTACAAGTAGCAAAGAGTGCTGGTGTGTAAACCACTGTTTTAAATGCACACCAACAATTTTTTGTTTTTTTAATGAATCATTAAAGTAAGATATGTTTGCCTTGTGTTCTTTAACTTTTGACCAGTTCAGACAAGCGTCTAAACGAAAAAAAAATCGGGTCATTGCTGCTTTGATGGACACGCGGCCTTACAGTAATCCTTTCTCCTCATACAGACTGAGCGAGAAGAGCAACAAGAGCAAGATGTCTGGCGGGGTGAAGGCGCTGTTGTTTGTTCTGGTCCTTGCTCTTGTCGCTGTGGTGGTGCTGGCTGTGGTCATCATGCAGATCAGGGACGACGACAAAGAGGCCGTCAGGGTCACACCAGATTCGAATAAAGGCGACAAGATCGATGACAACGGGCAACCAAAGGAAAGTAAGATTAGTTTTCTTTGTTTTATGTTTACTTGTTAAGTCACCAACCAATTCGACACAAATACACGATATTAAAAGGACAAAGGATTTTACTCTAAGCGGGCCCTTGAAAACATCCTTTTTGCAACTCTTTCCGTTTTGTAAAAGCAGCAACACCAAACAAGTTTTTATTTTTGTTTTACATTTGCAGCTGTTTGTTCTAGAACTTACGAAAAGCGTGTCAGTTCCGCGTAAGGCTCATAAGAATATTATAACTTAGTTATAATTAATTCAGTGATTTCCAGTCTTGTGTATTCAACGGAACTTAGCGTATTACCCCTTTCTGTAAGCGTTTTATGGCGCTCATAACTGCTTAAGGTCATATGGTCGCTTTTAAGCACAAGGGAGCGGACCCAAAAAACGCTGTTTTGAGAAAATCGAAGGTAATTTTTTTG